AGGAGTTCTTCAGGTGGAGTGAACTTCATCCTTTTATTTGATACTTTGTGTAAGTCTCATGTCATCAGCTACTATGTTTGTCACCCCTGATCCTGAAAGAGCACTGCTGTGGCTCAGAGCAGAGACTGCTGTGATGTCAAGGACAGTTTCCTTGCAGGTTACCTGGAGCTCAAAGTGTCTAATGAGATACATTGAACAAATAATAGATACCTTTAGCATTGTCCTTTTCTTTGTGGCTTTTATGGTGTAGAAAATTGAAAGATCTGACTTTGTTTTTCAAGTGGAGTGAATAAAGAAAATGCATAGTACCTCCCTGACTCCCCTTTCCACCCCTGTCTTTTTACTGCCAGAGTGTAGGGCAGTAGCTTGTATTTTTGGAAGAACACAAGTTCTGGCATCTGGTTTTGTGTCACAGTAGATGTGGGTAAACTGTGCCTTCCCAGAGAGTATTTGTGTAAACATTGGCATCCTGTGAGTATGGGCTGTGCTCACAGTTGGATATCTGTTCCAAGTAGATGGGTTGGGTATTTTCTTAAGAGATGTAGAGTTATGTTTTTCTAGCTGTGCAGGTTTGAAAGCAAACCAGTGAGAGACTCCAAGTCAGAAATACAATTTAATAGAAAACCCAAAACAATAAATGCAACAGCACAAAAAGAAACCACTGACAGAGTCAGAAAGCAACCAGACACACTGTCAGTCAGGGTGTTGGTAGTAGTCCGATTAAATGGTGGCTGCAGTCCTCCTGGAGTGATGAGTCTGTTGGAGCAGTGATCCTGTAGATCTGGTCTTCACCTGAAGGTCCAGTGGTAGCTCTTGTCCTCTGGGAATCCAGTAGGTAAGGGCTCTGTGCTGGTCCAAACCCCAGCTTACATCCATGTGGGAATGCTTGGCTCCCCCCCTTGGGGTGAAGCATCTCACAATGGGAGTATATAATTCTATGGGTCATGTGGGTCCCTGACAGCCCATTAAAGAGACAGCCCCTGAGGGAGCCATCAGGGATGAGTTTTAACTGCTTTAACAGTTTGTGGAGATGATAATACATACCAATGGTTACACCCTACATTGTAACCTAGGACACTAGCTTTGTTTAAAATTCAGCCTATGCTTAGAGCCTGATGCTCCTTATTTTTGCCCTTAGCAGTGTGGCCCGAATAAGACACTGTTAGCCCAGTACTTTGATTGCTGTCAGTGTGTTGTGTCTGTGAAGTGAGGAAAGCTGAAGGGCTTTCCTAGCTGTACCTCTGTATTACAGTGGCAGCATGCAATAGCAAGGGCCATATTTTTTCATGATGCTTTGTGGCACAAGGCCTTCCTAGCCAAAATGTTTTCATTTTTTAACTCTAGTTTATAATCCCTGACAGATTTTTCCCCTCATGGCTTTGTGTTTACATTTGAGTCGAGGTATGCTGATGGCCTCCTGAGAAGTTTTTGTCAAGGCATTCCTATATCTAGTTTGAAGAACTGTAATTCTATAACATGGTTTCCAATAAACCTTTATCTTTACCACCAGGTTTTTCTTTTTCTAGGCAGAACAGTCCTAAGTATTTAGTTTTGCTTCATACAGAAGGTGTTCTACCTCATCACACTCCTCTGTGTGTTCTCTAGTCCTGCTATATCTCTTTCCATTGAAATAGCATTTTCTGGTTTGCATATCACTTGCCTCTTGCCCCTGGAAGTGCCTTGAATTTATGGCCAGATTCTGAAAGAACTGGAGCTGCCTTTGGGAGAAAAGCTGTGGCCTAAACCTCTGAGTGGCTGGATTAAAAGCAGAGTTTGTTTTTTCAAATGTACAGTCATTCATCTATACTTGGAAATTCTGTATTTCAAAACTGATTCTTTGTTGCTTTTAGAAATAAAAAGAACAAGGTTAATTCTGGTACACTGTCATAGTTTAACCCCGGCTGGCAGCCAATTACTAGCCAGCTGCTCACTCATCTCTGGTTTAGGGGGAGGAGAATTGGAAAAACAAGGCAAACTTGTGGGTGGAAATAAGAACAGTTTAATTGAAACAAAATAAAATATTATAGTAATGCTAATGATAATAATAGCAGCAATAATTGTAGTAAAAAAGGAGAGAGGGAAGAGTAAGACCCAAGAAAACTGAGTTATGCCCTATACAGTTGCTCCCCACCTGCTGACCAGTTCCCAGCCTGTGATTGGCAGTTCCTGGCCAAGCCCCCCCAGGTTCTGTACTGGGCATGACATTCTGTGCTATGGAATATCCCTTTGGCCAGTTGGGGTCAGCTATCCTGGCTGTGTTCCCACCCTGCTTCTTGTGCACCTCCTTACTGGCACAGCATGGGAAACTGAGAAGTCCTTCACTTGGGATAAGCACTACTCAGCAACAACTAAACCATCAGTGTGTTATCAGCATTATTCTCATACTAAATCCAAAACACAGCACTGTGTCTCTATGAGGAAGAAAATTAACTCTGTCCCAGCCAAACCAAGGACATCAGTGTTTTGTTTCCTGTTCCTTGTAACTTCTTGTGCTTTCAGCACCTGCTATGTTTGCAGTGCTAATAAGTCCAAGCACTTAGTCTTTTGGATGGTGACTGGATTTTGTATTTTGTTCGTAAACTCATCTATGTGTGCATTTCCACACAGATGAGTATTTTAGTTTTTTAGTAGCAATAATGAAATTTGTTCAAATGTCTTTTGACTTATAAATAAATTCAAATACTTTGGAATAGAGGAATTGCCAACATTCCTGTTAGTGTTTAATTTCTGCCTGGAGTGGCCAGCAGATGTTTGAGCCTTATGAAGAATATATAAAAGTTCCTTGACTATGTGAGATCTTCAGTGCTGAGACCAAACAGCACTCCAACTTTGTGGGTCCTCATGCTAATCAGTCCAAGGCTTTGGATCTTGTTAGTGTAATGCTAGGGTGGCTTAGAGGTCAAAATCAAAACTGAGATATTTCAGGAGCTCAGGTTCTGTGCGAAAATAGAGGGGTGAGAGAATTATTCTGCTTTGCCTTCACTTTACTGGTTTGACATTCAGTGTGGTCTGTGTCTAATAGTGTGGGGACAGGTGTCTCTGGGCTTGGCTATTTGCAGAGTTCAGGGTTCAGATAACTGTGGAATGAACAGAGAGTCCCTCATGTCCAAGTGAATTCCACAGCTTATTGCTCATTAGTGTCCATCTTCTGTGCCAATGGACGTGACCATAACCTGTCCCAAGACTGGGACTAACACCTGTCAGTCTTGTGGCCTTTGGCAGCCCTCTCATAGCTTTGGGAATCAAAGGAGGCAGTTGGCCTTGGAATAGTTTTGGTAACTTCTTACGACATATCAATTTCTTGCAGCATTTCTTTGTATTCGAGTTACATCATGTTTTCATGTAACTGAAAGCTGATAGACTATGTGTTCTGGGTTGTGTCTGGCTCTGCAGCAAGTCGTTTTAAAAATAGAGGCAAGACCACTGTAATCAAAAGCAATTTTCAGGCATTTGAACCTTGGCTGAACCTTTGATGATCCACTGTTTCTATCTGATAAATGATCCAAATGATCCACCAATTCTGCTTAGTAGTGTTGAGCACATTTACCTGTGGTGCGACCTTGGTTCGAAACAATTATGCTCATGGTTTCATTCGTTCCTTACTTTTGTCCATTTACATAAGCTGTTTGGAACTATTGTCAGGCTAAAATATTTCATGGACGTGTTTCATTGATATGGGACGAACACTACACTCGAAAGTCCAACTGTTTTGCAGAGTGAGTGTTGGAAATGTGTCATGATCTTGAATGTTAAGATGACTTTCAGTCTCTGTGTTTGTGTCTTAACAGTTCAGTGTTACCAGATTAGGACGCTGGATTGATTTTGAACATGACTATAAAACACTTTATCCTGAGTTTATGGAGTCTGTGTGGTAAGTTAACTTATATGCATTGCGTAAATGCTTTATGAATTAGAAATGTTAAGAAGGCTTCAATTGCTGTAAGCATGTGTTGGTCCATATATCACCAGAACTATTCTGAAATGTGACAAATGCAGATCAACATCAGATAGTGAGACGATGTGAAGTCTCTTGATGTCCAGGTGACAGAATTAATTCACCTACTCTTGTCTCCTTCAGGAAAGGTTGTGCAAAACACAGTACAACAGCACTGTTTTTAGTGAGCCCTGAATCTTACTGCTCCATGTCAACTTACAGGCATTTCTGAAGATCCATTAATATGCTCCTTGCTTGATTTAGGAAATTACATTATATCTCTATATTCTTGATGTTCTTCACACTGTCAGTGGCAAATGGGCAAACTACCCAAGCTCAGTTTAGCTCTAAACTTTTCTTCAAGCCTGAATTTAGAGGCTGAGAATCTGCTGTTATCTCCATCTTGGCAGCACAGTTTGACAGCTGTCTTGGACTCCTGGTGCAGAGCTAAGTAAAGTTTGGGTGTTTTGGCAGTGTGTTCAGGGTGACTGTTGGAATTTCAAAAGGCAACATTATAAGTTAAGGATAGTCAAATTGGCCTAACACAGTGGAGAAATGGCAATGTTGAGTCCTTTAGGGGATAGAATTACAAGGGGAGTTGCAGGGAGAGGCTTAGCAGTGTATATGCTGACAAGAAGCCATTGAAAAACAATTGATACTTATTAAAGTATTACTGATGTTCTGTAATGTTAGTTTTACTAGTAACCTTTAATTGTATGGTTAGTTACATACAGAAATGACAGAGGATTGACAGAACTTTCAGATGTACCTGAAGCCATTGCAGAGGGCTGAACTGCCAGTGAATTTTCAGTGAGCTTTGAAAAGATGGTGGGAAGGGAGCAGATGTTTAACTAGCTTAGCTGAAGAAACTGTGCATAATTATAAAACAAAAACTGACAAGAAACCTTAATTTTGTAAGTTATAAAAATACTGAATGGCACATTAAATCCTGCTTCCAAGGACCACTTAGAAGCCAAACTTGACTTGGGCTAGCTGCAGGGTCTCTCTCAACAGCCCAAGCCTTTTTTTTTTCACCTTTGAAAGACTGTTTCTAGTCTCTGAGTTAATTACCTCCTCTAATGATTGCTTTGATACAGACTTTAAAATATAAACTTTGGAGCTGAAACCTCAGAAGTATGAGATTTCAGGAAATATGTGGGCAGACAACCTCCAAATTTGTACTTTTTGCCTCCTGATGCTCTTACTTTTTGGTATAATCGTATAATGAAATAGATTCTTCAAGTCTGATGTTAAAATTGGGTTTTCTGGAAAGTCTCCTAAGCCTTGGGGGGACATGGTGTGATGCCATTGCCAACTTGCTCTCTAGCAGAACAGGAGGTGGAACCACTGGTGTTTGCATGTAGTGGATGGAGGAGGGCAGTGGGAGGGGAATGTGGAATGCCTGTTTCAGGGCCAAGGGAGATGATGCTTAGAGAAAGCCCTGGAACTGTAGGTGCGGTGGTGCCTTTGGCAGGGTAGTGTACAATTTCCTAGAGAAATAGAAATAGGTTGGTTACCTAGGCAGTCATCAGACCAAAATTTGGGAGTGAAGTTCCTTTTTATGTCCATTAGGAATGTTCACTTGAGCTGTACATTTTAGCAGCTTCTCACAATTGATTGCATTTTTTAGTATGAGTTCCTTGTTAATTTTTGTCTTAGGACATTTAGAACTTTAGTGTCCAGCTAAAAGAGAAACTGCAGATTAACATCTGCATTGACTGTAACCTGGTGGCCACATTGGCCTGTCCAGTGGTTTTTATCTTGTTCTGCCTGTGGGAGTAGAGCACTGCTTTTATGCCCAGGAAAATAAATTATGAGGATAATGGTAGTGGACATAGCACTGTGGTTAAAATATGGTAAGGATTTTGTCTTTCAATCAACTGTTTAGGTTGATTTTTGTTTCTCGCTCTCTCTGAGGCTTGAAGCTCTGGAGTGCTCTCCACTGGAATTTCTAGATTTCGTGACATGTGATGTTTTCCTCCATGACATTTCTGTGGAGTTCAATGAGCTAATCTAATGCTGGTGATAAAAGTTGTCTCCAGTGGTGGCTGATTTTTATCCAAATTATTTAGACTGGAAATAGTTAAGACTCAGACGCTAAATGCATCTTTTGTAGAGATACTGTACAAGCTCAGGATGCTGGAAACATTCTTCTTCATCTTTTAAAATGGCTTTGTTGGCAATGACTGCTTTGTATGCATTGTGCTGCTATGTCATATGGTGGCTGACTGAGTAGACTGCATTTTCAGCTGGCTAAATTTTTACTTAAAACATTAATTGATAAAACTTGGGCATCCTGGTAGAATTTTTCAGGGCAGCATAGAATCATAGAATCAACCAGGTTGGACAAGACCTACAAGATCATCAAGTCTAACCCTACCATCGTTACTAGACCATGGCACTAAGTGCTACATCCAGTCTCATCTTCCAGGGGTGGTGAATCCACCACGTCCCTGGGCAGCCCATTCCAATGCCTGATAACTTTCTCTGTAAAAAATCTCTTCCTAATATCCAACCTAACCCTCCCCTGGCAGAGCTTGAGTCTGTGCCCTCTTCTTGCTGGTTGCCTGGGAGAAGAGACCAACCCCCACCTGATTACAGCCTCCTTTCAGGGAGTTGTAGAGGGTGAGACTCCTCTTCTCCAGGCTAAATAACCCCAAATCCCTCAGCCTCTCCTCATGGGTCTTGTGCTTGAGTCCTTTCACCAGCCTTGTTGCTCTTCTCTAGACCCACTCCAGCACCTCAATACAATATCCCTACTGATATTCAGAGATGATATTGCAATGGTTTCTCATATGATGGTAGAGTCAGCTCTTCACATCTTACATAACTCAAAAAGAACTTTGAAGTTCTAATTCTGTGGAATTTGTATATCCATCCTGCAGCCAGCTCAGATTTCAGTGAAAGTGTCCTTCACTGAAAGCAGTGCAAAGAGAATGATGATCTTAAACTGACATGGGATGTATTCAGAGATGATATTGCAATGGTTTCTCATATGATGGTAGAGTCAGCTCTTCACATCTTACATAACTCAAAAAGAACTTTGAAGTTCTAATTCTGTGGAATTTGTATATCCATCCTGCAGCCAGCTCAGATTTCAGTGAAAGTGTCCTTCACTGAAAGCAGTGCAAAGAGAATGATGATCTTAAACTGACATGGGATGAACACACAACATATTCTTGCCTTTTTGTTTTTGTACAGCCCATGAGACATATCCAGTGCAATTGAGAGAGTTTGATGTGAGGTTAAGCTTTTTACTGATCTACAGTTGGTCTGAGAGAAACATATGAGCTTTAGGAAAGAGAACAGCCTGTAAATTATTGTCTTAACGTATTATGTACTTCCCAGGCTGGATGTAAGTTCCTCGGGAGCAGTTGGCACTGGGGAAGCAGCCTGGGAAGTGCTGAGGAGGGAATGGCTCTGCCGTCAGAGTGGTGGCTGTTCCTGGGGCTGATGACCAGGGCTTTGACTTTCCTTCTCTGAACAGTTATCACCATCTAGTGCCCAAATTAGCAATTGCCGACCGAGCCTAAGTCAGTTTTAAAGACAACAGACAGCTCCACTTAGTGACGGAGCTCAGGGAGTGCGAGGAAGAGATGGACTGCTGGAATCAACACCTTCCCTTCTCTTTGACAGGCCCAACAGGTACACAGGGCACATGACACGGAGCATTCTCGAGCCTCTCTCCATCTGGCTGAAAACAGTGACTTAAGGGCTACAGGGCAGTGACAACAAATTTCTGCCTGGCACAGCAGGCACATCTCTCCTGTGACTACCCCACCTTCGCAGGTGCCCTTGATAGGTGTGAGGCTCTCCAGTGGGTCTGAACAATGGCAGTCATGATTCACCTAGCACAGAGGTATTGATGAGGTTAAATCAGGATCTTCTCCTAAGTAACAAGCAGCAGGACAAGGGGAAATGGCCTCAAGTTGCACCAGGGTAGGTTTGGATTGGGGAAACATTTCTTCATAGAAAGGGTTGTCCAGCATTGGAACAAGCTGCCTTGGGAAGTGCTTGGAGTCACTATCCCTGGAGGAATATAAAAGACTTGCAGAGGTGGCACCTCTGGACATGGTTTAGTGGTGGCCTTGGTAGTGTTAAAGGGGACTCTGATCTTAAGCATCTTTTCCATCATAAACAATTCTATGACTTGTCTGGTGTGAAATGACAGGTGGTGGAAACCCTTAGCTACTTCTGTGCCCTAAGAAGATACTCTTGAGTCCTTTTGTGATGATACTGGATGGTGGCTGGGGGGAGAAAGAAAAACA